TAGACGAAAATATACAAATTTTGTAACTTTCAGTTCAACAACACAAGTGAAAGACAACACTATTTTATATAAATGTGATAATCAGTGTCAATACTGTGAAACAGTTATTTATAAACTATCTTCACTGCTAATATATTAAGAATATTATTTTTGGAAGGTGCCGAACTTCCTACTTCCTCAACTTTACTTCCACAGGAGATTAGAAAAATGTAGCTTACTTTCCAAACCAAAGAAATTTAAAATTATCCTATTAAAAATTTATTAATTCTTATTGTACAAGATAAAAAAATGCAATATCACTGTGGATATATTTAATCTTTCTACACACTTTTAAATAGGATGTTAAAAAGATTATACATTTTTTTCATCAGTTTTCAATTTGATTTACATCTTCACTGATGTTAAAGAGAAACTGGAATGTATATTTGGTTGAGTATCTCTTATTACGACAACCATCTGTAACTATATTGGTGCTAACCATCTGTTCATATGATAGGACAGTTTAACAGACCTAGTATCAACAGCTGCATTTCGGGAGTTGTTTCTTTGATGTTATCTCTCTCAATGCTGGTTTATATTTACAAGTAGTATTACATAACTATCTGACAGGATGTAACTATATTGGTGCTAACCATCTGTTCATATGATAGGACAGTCTAACAGAACTAGTATCAACAGCTGCATTTCGGGAGTTGTTTCTTTGATGTTATCTCTCTCAATGCTGGTTTATATTTACAAGTAGTATTACATAACTATCTGACAGGATGTTGTATAATTAACATACTTTTATTGTACCCCATACAGAATACTGCTTAAAAAAAAAACATTTCTAATTATTTTATTGTACTTACTCCACAGTTCAAAATAAACTATCACCAATACGTTTGATATATAGGTATTATTATTACTCTGGGCCACTTATTTTCATTTCAAACTCCTAATTATCAGATCCTTTAGTATCTACGTAAAGCATAAAAATATTTTATTTTATTAAATTTCCAAAAGAAACAAATTATAATTTCTTTCCAAAAAATTTTTGACAATCTAAACAAGAGAACGAGTTTTCCTTAACTGTATTGATGTGCTGTTACAACCTAAAAGTATTGTACAAGTTATATATATATCTTTCTATTCATATAAACAAACGCCATTAATAAATTGTAGGAGGAGAAAAAATAACTTCTATCGCAGTTTGTAACATTTCATAAACTGATTCTGATGTGTCATTTTGAACTAATTTTTCCGTTGTACAAAAGAAAATTTCACATTAAAAATTTGTATCACAAATCCTAACCGTTCTAACCACATTTGTGGATGTGGCAACTCTCAATAAATGGTAGGTTCTGTACATTCCTCGTTAATTTTCTTTTAACACTTGAGGAGGATACTTATTTCATGATAAATGTACTTAAAGAATATGGATATATTTTTTTATCAGATTCTTATTCATAAAAACAAACCTTACCTGTGAATAATTTACAATATTTTAAAAATCTAAAAACATTTCTGTATCAACAAGTAAATACATCTTAAAACAAAATAGGAGGAATTGTTAAGCGCAAAACAATAACATGGGCTATATGTGGCTGGCTATCAAAATCTCATATTTAATGTTGAGTAAAAAGAAGTTTTTTTTTTTCTTCTTACGATCACTTCAGAAGGTGCTCATGAAAAATTGAGGTGCATTTTCCACTCAAACATTTAAGAATAAGAGCTTACCACTCGCTTCGTTTTTTACTTTAAACATTTTAATGTAAAAAAACTTTCCACACGCTAACCAATTAAAGAAATGGTTAAGTGTGCACTGAATGTTATCAGAATAACTGTAACCCCGGACCTTGTTAGAGGTTTCTGTCAGCAAATCATAGTAATTTCAAATTAAATTAATTAATTATGCCTAAATTGGAGGCCTAACTTTTTAAAATCTAGTTTTACTTGCTTTTATAGAAGAAACTACGATTTCCACTTCTCGGGAATTATTACATAGATGAAGTTTTTATGTATCTTAAGAACTTAACCTGCTTTAACAGTTTTCTTACAAATTTAAGTTTACATTTAAAACTTACAAGTGCTTAAAAATTAACCTGAAAGTACGATTGAATTTTGTGATCAGTTTCTGATGCTAACGAGACTTTGGTTCAAGTTGAAATATAGTATTAGTGGAGGTTAGGTCATTCAAACTACTGAGACATTAAATTTTAATGTATAGGTGATTTTTTTTTTTTCTGGTTGCATTTATAACAAAAATTCACAAAGTACTGTGTGTATTTAGTTCAGAACTTGAATAAAAAGAGTAAGTCATAAAAAAAGTTTGAAAAATACTTTGTTAGCACTTCTAGAAAAATCAAAATAAAAACACCTCCATACATATATTAACATTTGAATTGTAACTGTTATCATGTAAACAATTATTAATTTCATCACAAACAAGTCAACATAAAAGTATTCAATATATTTTACAATATTAAGCGTAACAACTATGCCATTTTAGAGACCAAAAGATGCCGTTCTGCAAATGTGGAGGGAATAAATCCAGCATATTGATGGAACGTTAGATTGAGTGCTGTGTCAGTGTGAACCATGCTGGAGTGCGTTTTCTAATATAGAAATCCTATAAGAAGTAAGTCAGTGTGAACCATACTGAAGTGCGTTTTCTAATATAGAAATCCTATAAGAAGTAAGTCAGTGTGAACCATGCTGGAGTGCGTTTTTCTAATCTAGAAATCCTATAAGAAGTAAGTCAGTGTGAACCATGCTGGAGTGCGTTTTCTAATATAGAAATCCTATAAGAAGTAAAGTCTAGTGTGTTTTTAATGACTGTTTTGCTTTTAATTATAATGAAAAAAATTAAAAAACTATTTGGTGTATTTGCAAAAATAATTTATTATTGAAGAGTTGCTTTAAATTAAAATCTGATTCTCTGTAGTTTTAAGAAACACAACTACTATTTTAGCAAATTTAATATTACAAAGAACAGTATTTGGAACATGTGAAAACTAATGATATATGACCATGATGAGAGAGTTATGTAATGATGGCCAAGGAAAAGCAGTTTGAGAAACTGTGATGCTCTTATCATGTGAACAAGTTTCAGCCAAATGATGATGATGTTCAAAAAATCACCAAAATGGACTGGGGAATCTTGCATGTAGCCCAAAGGGTAAACTGTTACTATATTTATGTTATTAGTGGGATAAAACAGGTTCAAATTTATCTATGCCTCGGGGATCAGACTAAAATATCTAACACATGTTACATACCAAAAACAACAAGCTAAAACCGAGAAAAGGAAGATAAGATTAAATTCAATAGGACGAGGCTTAAGGCAGGTTTGCATGTCGCTGAAAGCATCAGATGATGCACAAAAGACTGAAAATCACTTTAATTACAAAGTTCAACAGCTTTAGAAGTGCAGAAGTAAAAAATCGTGCTTTAGTAGAAATTGAAAAGCAGTTGGAGGAAAAACTTGCAGAACTTAAGTCAACCGAGTAATAAACCATGACAGTATTCATTCCCGATATAAAAGGCCATTTTTTTTTTTAAAGAACCTTAGATAGATTACAGAGAATCTAAATGAAAATTAATACTAATATTGAAAGTTTATTTATAATAGAAATTTATTGCTTTATTCATTACTTGTGACATTCACTACAAATTATAAAATATGTCTCATTAATATATAAATTGCTTTGTTCTTTGAAAAGCAGTTATGCTGGGAACCATGGGTAAAGTTGACGGTGTAATAAACCGTAAAGTTGACGGACTGGAATTACTCCTGAAATTGACTTTTAATTTTATTTATGTAATAAGTGTAACATGAGAGTTCAAAATGAAGTTGATGATAAGATTTCTACAGAAAAACAGACAATGAGCTTACATCTCCATTCTGTAAAGACATATTGGAATTCCTGTTAGAATGCATACAATCTTTTCATAACCAAAGATATTCAATCGAGAACAATTTTACTAATATAATATCTCAAGTTTTAAGAGATTATTTTTAAAATTATGAAGTGTTTCTTTGGATTTTATAACCTTACATAACACTGTGATATTTAAATTTTGCTAGAAGATAAAACACAAGCTGCATATATTTATAAAAAGGTAAAAAAAAATAATAATAATCTCATTCAACATTAAAGTGCTTCTTCAAATTATAATTGCATTTCTCTTATTATTGAGACTACATATTTTCAATTATAGACTCAAGTTTATTTAGTGTTAAAAATATATATATAGAAAGGATATAATTCTACATAGATCTTAGTTTCAGTCTGTCAACATATTCCGTTGTATGTGATACGATAAGCTGCATTTATTTTATGTAAATATAAATAAATATGCTAAAACTATATCCTGGAGTCTGTTGTATCTAATAATGTATATATATTTATATATTACTTAGTTATTTAAATAAACATAATTATTTTAAAAATATATCCTGGATTCTGTTGTATCTAATAACAATATATATATTATTAGTTATTTAAATAATATCCAAGGAATGATACATCACCTTTTCTCTTCATGTTTAACTTTTAGTTCTTTCATGTTACACTTGAAATAGATTCTATTGTGTATATGCCATCATCAATTTAACCCTAATATCAAGAGTTGATTGTACAGAATTGTGTGTCTATTACAGTCATTGCAGTATCCAGAAAATGATGAAACATTTTAAATCGATAATTTAGAATCGCAGCTTTCAAACAGTACAACTTTTGTGCTCACATCTTTTGCAGAGAAATATTCATTTGAAGGTTATTTCCTCCATTTAAGTCCGGATTTTAGTGAAAGTCCATTCCCTTTGTGAAGTAACATGTCTATAAAAGTTTGTTTGATTGTTTTGAATTTCACGCAAAGCTACACGAGGGCTATCCGAACTAGCCGTCCCTAATTTAGCAGTGAAAAACTAGAGGGAAGGCAGCTAGTCATCACCACCTACTGTCAACTCTTGGGCTATTTTTTTACCAATGAATAGTGGGGTTGACCATCACTTTATAACGTCCCCACGGCTCAAAGGGCGAGCATATTGGTTGGGATGGGGATTCAAACCTACGACCCGCAGATTGCAAGTCAAGTACCCTAACCACCAGGCCACCTATAATAGTCCTGTTGTCAGTGTGACTATCAGAAAGTTATGTTTACTTTAGTTACATGAGTAATGTTGCCAGGTATGATGTTTGCATGAAATACAAATGTTTCAGACGCAGTCATGATGGAGTTCATTCTAAAGTTAAAGTGATCAGAAAGAGAGGCCATTCAACAATGTTAATATCCAACGAAAGAAGATTGAACAATAAGATATTTTGTTCTTCTCATTGTAACCAGTTTTATTGACAGACTAAGATATGACTCATCAGACCTGTAATGATGAAAATCATAAGAAAGAGTTATAGAGAGTCCTATATGTCATGAACATGTTGAACACCATTCTTACAGTGCAAGTCTAAATGAAATGACCTTGAGCAAAAGTAGCCTTGTGCTGAGAAGACTTTTTATTGTGGTTTTCAAAGAAAGAAATCAAAACTTAAACTAATGTACAGTTTTATACAAGAAATTGGTCTAGCAGATTTTCTCTTGTTCGAAGTTGCCACAATAAGATAGCAATTTCTGTACTATCATCTCGTGATTTAAGGGTTAAGTTATTATAAATTATCACAGGTCGTTCGATCTCTTACCATTTTTTCAGAACTACAAATAGTTTGAGTTGCTCTTTTAATACTGCAACAGTTAATGTAAATATTATACTATATTATTGCATTAACAAACCCAAAAAAAAACCTTATTACAAATTATCACAGCTATTTAGAATTCATCATGGAAACTGCGAGCAGTGTCTACCATTTTGCTGCCAAGGAAAATATTTTTCTGAGCTAAAACTTCCTGAAGAGACAGAGAGTTATCTTTGTTGGTGTCAGCCTTAGAAATGAGATCTTCCGCTTCTCGTTTGGAATGAACAGGATTTTCTGGATCATTGTACAACTATAAAAACAAAGTGGTTTTGAAAGTGAATTGAGTTAACACGCATCTACTCAGCAAGAGCCCACCATATAACAAATACAAAACTATACTATGTATACAAACGCTGAATGGCTAATAGAAGTAACTTGACTGTAATAAATGTACAACGTGGTTATCTATGTCTCTATCCTTTCTTGAACACTTTCCTTACCTGAAAATGTATTTCCAATAAATACCCATTTCTGCACACAGATTCAGTTATCTTCTTCATGCATATGCAAAAGAAGGTTGCATGCCACTACCCTTGAGGCAATTCCCACCTAATTTCATGTGATTTTACATCAACTGCGGTACTGCATGATAATGTAATCATTCAACAAAGCTCTCCACTAATGTGAGGGTGACACGCCCCCATGTGCAATAACTTTCCCTAAGCATTTGCACTCATGTAAACTTCATTCTTTGATGAGACAAGGTAGAAAAGGTGCACTGTAAATGAGGAGGATGGGTGGGAATGTGCGAGGAGGTGAATATCTAACTGGAATAATTATCTGGTACGGAAAGTGCATCCGAGATGATACCTCACCTCCACACACAGATTTAGCTAAAATAACACACAGAAGGGGCCCGTGCAAAATGTTCCTAGATGAGCACCAAATGGAAGCCCATTGGATGTAACATAGCTCCATTGGGGCACACCCATGGGAGACCACATCTCGTCTCATCCAGAGTATACTCTTCGCCTGTTTAGGAAAATAGGAAGAGGCAAAGAAGCCAAGTTCATGTTGCAGGGATTGGCAGAAGGTGAACATGACT